GATGAGAACCATGGGCTACATGCCGACTGAGATGGAGCTGATTGAACTGAGCCAAAACATTAACATGAACTGTGAGTAAACTGTGTATTAAAGTCATCAAAACAATATAGGTTAATCCCAGGTCAAATAGAAGATGCTCCATTGATGTTACTTTCCCTTATGTGCAGATAATGCTTAGAAAAGCAAAAGCTAAAGCCATTTTTCTAATAGGATCACTATTTTCGACTAACAATCATTGCATCGTTTTAAATTTTTACTGAAATACTCAAGAAAATATTTATAAATTCACAGTTTTGACAATTGAAATGCTAAACTTTGTTTGCAGGATCTGCTTTAGGATCTTTTAAATACATCCTGTACCTATTCGGTTTAAATGATAACGTCAATCACAGTAGCTCACTGTGATGTAAAATAAACCGAATGTTTTTGTCATTTTGCTGCCTTGTTGGCGCAGTGGGGGGACGGGTGGACTTTGAGGATTTTGTGGAACTGATGACCCCCAAGCTTCTGGATGAAACCGCCGGGATGATTGGGTTGAAAGAACTCAGGGATGCTTTCAGAGAGGTGAGCTCAACATATACTACATTTTATCTATATCTTTGTGCAATGTGGAACCCCACTTATTAAATGTACTTATTAAAAATGCATAAAATCTGTTCTTTTTGTGTAGTTTGACATAGATGGGGACGGGTCCATCACCTCCGAAGAGCTGAAATTCGCTATGATAAAGCTGTTGGGCGAGCAGACGAGTGAGAAAGAAATAGGAGAGGTGGTCAAAGAAGTCGACGACAATGGAGATGGAAAAGTTGACTTTGAGGGTAAGAAAGAAGAAAACATAATCGCAGTGAAATATCGGGATTACGTAACCATCTGTACTCAGATGTTAAGTTGGAGGATTGCTTTGTGGAATTGCATAATTAATGTGGTTCAGAATGCGGCAATGTTACATAAAAGAGGATTATAATTAACTTCTTTCTAATAATACGTTGTAATCTGTTGGCTTCCTGCTGCTAGAAAACTTTTATTTCCCCCAAACTGGCCTCTGGTCATTTCTGATTTGCTTAATCTGGCTGCAGTGTTTTGAAAATGGGTTTGGATTAGTTAGTTAGAGTGATGCTGTTTGTCCATTGAATTATGGTGCAAAATAACTTTATCAATTATTGCTATAGTGAAATGTGTTTTGTTGAATGAAATCTATATCAATCTAACTGAATTGATTTGAGGTCTGTGAAGATGAATTAATTTAACTGAAGTTCACTTGATTTTTTTAAATCTGATTTGATCCGCCATGATTTGAGTTTTAATTAACTTTTGGTGAAATGAAGCGACTTGAGCTCAAGTTTAGCTGAACTGAATTGAGTTGCGTTGACTTGACCTTTTTTGATTTGATGAGTTGACGTGAGTTCAGTTAAATAAAGAGCCCTTGACTTAATACTCTGAGATTAAAATTTCTTGATTTGATTTGATTTGATTTGATATGTTTTGATTGAGGTGAACTGAGTTCAGTTCAGTTTTTCTGTTTTCTTTTTGTTGAGTTTTTTGTCCATTTTGAAGAGCGACAAAGTTTGAATAATTAGCTTCCTTGTTGCTGGTGGTGTATTTGCTGTTTTACAGTATAAATTATAATCTTAATCTCTCCTAATGCTCAAGTTCCTCATTAAAGAAGTTGTTGTGTGGCGCCTGCTCGCTGTTTGAATGAATTAGCTGAACAATCTGCTGTTCATTTTTTCTCCAGAGTTTGTGAAAATGATGTCAAAGAAGTGAGGACAACAAAATGAAGACAGAAGAGGATCCATGTTGTTTTAATATTTTTTTAATCTGACAAACTCTTCTTTTTTTGTAAATAATCAAAATTTCTAGTTACATTAATATTATGTTCATTTAATTTACTACAAAAAGTGATGGGCAGGAATTTTCAGGAGTAGTTCTTGATTTAAGAAAATAAGAAATAAACTTTTTTGTTGTGTAATTTCACAGTTTTCTGTTACATTTGTTACATATTTTTACCTTTTGTTCTCCAGAACTCTTTCATTGAATTACTAATTTGTGTCACTTGTTTAAAAAAAAGTTGTTTAACTGTCCAAGAAAAAAAAAATAAAGAAAATAATGCTTTAACAGTAGCGATAAAGACTTTGGCTTGAACCCTGAACCCTTGTTAAACAGCCCTGAACAATCAGGGAAATCTTAGCTGTCAGTGTTTCTGTCTTGTGCAGCAGCAGCTGAAAACAATTGTGGTCGACAGAAGCACTTCTGTCCTGATGGGCTGCAGCTTCTTCCACTTTATTGATTGTATCTGCAGGGAACTGCAGCTGGTTTAGTGGGAATGAGCCTCCCAAAGACAAAAGCTCTCTCTGCCTCCTCAGCATTGAATTAGGCCTGCACTTCTTTGGCTCAGTGGTGACCCCTGCAGGACAGTCTGAGCAGCAAACAGCCTCCTGTCTACTTTTTACCCAGAAACTTTCCATTTACAAAGATTTTCACAGTATTTCAAGGTAGGAAATCCAAATAGGTGCTTTTATTCTTCTAGTTATTCATTTATGAAAAATTTTACTTTCAGCTTTTACAGTATTTCCACCGATAGAAGTAAATGTAAGTTTAATTCAAAAATTGCTGAAATTGATTGTTTTATCTTATGTTTTAAAAATATTTTTTCAACAATCTTCTTTATTAGATGTTGAATTAGTAGCATTTTATTGAAAGTATATCTTGTAGTAATTCAACTAAACATTTTTTTTAAATTCGATATTAAAGTATGTTTTTTTTTTTTTTTTCTATCACAACCATCTAGATATCCTGTTTTGGAGAAAAGGTTTTACTGGTGTGGTACTGAAGGCCGTTTTCAGTCTTTCAATCCACTCAATGCTTCATTTTACAGCCATTTTCATATAAAAAAATATATCTAGAGCATGAACCACAATCAAAACATCACATAAAATACAACGACACTCCAACAAGGATGTAATACCGCGAATAAAAAAAACATGTCTATATATTTCTGTTTTTGCAGAAGAATAGAAAATCCGATTGTGATATTTAGGTATTCACAGTTGCGTGACAGTGAAGACATGCAACTGATTACTGTGTGCTTTGTATCCACTAACACTTACATGTACATTTCCTGTCAAGCCTTAAAATAAATAAAAAGCAAGCTTACACCCACCACATTAATCCAAGCTGAACAAGTGTGACTGGCCTGATATTATGCTTAAACGTCAGACTGATTATGAGTACAGTGGATTTTTTTTCTTCCTAACCAATTTACTCATTCTGCAGATTTTAACTAATGCTATTGCATAACAGAGGAACTATTTAATAGTGGGAATCAGCTCTGTTTGTTAAATAATTAACAGATAGTTAGATTTAAAGATGCATGCATGCCGCTAGCAGCCTCTCAACATCTCTGCATGAAATCTGGCAGAAAAGGCGATATTTTCTGTCCTACAATCTCCATTTAGCTGTCAGCGAGTCTCTCACTCAGCAACAAGCTGTAAGATTGTTTTTCAATTAATTTAAATTGTAAAGTTTTTCCAAACTTTACTTCGTACCTCTCTCACCCTGCCTAGAACAGAGACAAATGAGTTATAGATCATGAAGCAACATACATACGACCACATGTCAACAATCTCGGGACTAATCTGTCTCTCTGGGGTGGGATTATTTCCAGCCCTGTAATCCTCAACATGGGACCCTCATAGGAACAGATGGCAGATAAGATAAAATCACCACACTAATTCTCATTTACTGCGTACGAAAAAGGAAAGAAAGAAAGAATGACTGAAGCATTGAGGAGACAGGAATGTTCAATGTGGTGTTTGTGATTAAAATATATGTTTCAAATGGATGAGTAGATTTCGCTGACATATCATTGGGATGATACTTGAGATTTCATTTTAAACATAAAAAAACTGCAATGAAATACTTAAAAAGTCTTTAGTATGCATGAAGTTATTATTACCAATTCCTTTGGTCTGTCAAAGAGTTAATCTTGTTTCTGTTTTTAATCCTTGCATGTCCTAATCCTGTCTAGGCTCATGGGTCATGATTCCTTCATTCCTGTTTCCACTGATCAGTGGACAAGACAGACTTTGCACAGGTCAGCAGGCAGTCACTCGGCCAACATAAAGAGACACAAGACAGACATGCACACACACACACATAGACACACACACACATAACGGTAACTTCAGAGTCAGCAATTCACTAGTTTGATAAAACATTCATTTTTGGAAACTGTACTACTATTACAGAGGTTGCAAGCTTCGCCCTCTTTCATCCAAACACAATGACTGTGTCATATCCAGAAAATAGATTTTTTCAGAAGACGTATCAAAAGATGAAGGTCTTTGTCTCTGGGTGCATTTGAAAACTGTCATCTGGCTTTTTCAGTTGGATTTCGAGCAGCGTCTTCTTCCTCTCTGAGTCGGGCCGTGCTTGTTTGATTATAACGCTGCTGCCCGCTTCAGGAAGCCTGTTCACAAAGAGTTTCACCTTTGTTCTGAAGTCAGTACCCCCATTTTTACACAAAACATTATTTTTGTTTCCCTCAAAATATATTTGAGGGAGACAAATGTATTTTTCTCTGTAGCATCACAAAAAACATCTAATGTCTGTAGATGTTTTGTGATGCTACACAAGAAAATAGTGTGTTTGAGTTTTTACCTTAAAATATATATGCAAGTGTGTCTCCATTACAGTTTTCCATGTTGTTTAAATGCTTAATAATCTTAGTATATGTAAACTTCAAAGTAAGTAACGAAAACGTGTCCAAGAACAATCATTCATAATTTAGAAAATAGAAAGTGAAATAAGTATCCTGGATGACATTAAGTATGAAAACTGTAATCTGATTAAAAGGGAGAGTAAACATGAGATTTTAATTGTGTTTTATCTTCATTTTCATCACATTTAAATTCAGATAGCATTCAGATTTACTTTAACTCAAGAAAAAGACACAATTGACAACAACTCTCATTTATACTCAGTTTTTTTGTATCTTTTACTGTACATAAAATATGTAACAACAAACAAACTAGCAAAGAGAATTTATAAAGAAATCAAAAATATAATAACTTTGTGACCAAAAACATTCCAGCATACAAACAGCTTAGTGTTATCAAGGAAAGAAAGAAAACAACACAGTATATTTGGTGACATTTTGAGTGGAAATATCTCAGGAGAGAAAATACATTTAAATTCTTACTGAAGTATTCACAGTTTTTTGGTTGAATCACCAGTAGTCACACACACCGTTTCAAGATAGTTTCTAAAAACCCCATGCACATGCAACAACAGCTCAGATAAGGCCAGTAACAATAACAAGTCTCCGGCTTTGCATGCATGTATTAGCATAGTAAACACATTTAAGATGTTAAAATTTACACCAGTTGACCCCTGCGCTGCTGTTTGTGCTTCCAGGTGTTGTCTGCTTGCATTTTCATGTCAAAATGCCATGCAGGTAGCACGACAGTAAAACTGTTGTAATGACTACAAATGAGAGGCCAAACATCCAACGCTGCTTGAATGTGTGGCCGATGGCTTGTCTAATTCTTAAGGGAGGATTCACACAGTGATTCTCTGACTGGAATGAGACGCGTGAACCCGGACGGGGGCGAGGGGGGTAAGTTAAGGCATCCCTGCACAGTGCTCACGGTGAAGTGCAGGAGCAAAACTCAGAGGTCAGGGGTGAACATGTAGTCCAAAGCTTGTCTCTCTGCTGCAGCCACGTTTGGATGCCACAGGTCCACACTCAGAATGACCCTGGGTCCAGATTCTGGAGGACCTTTGAAGAAGACACGAAGACACCAGCTTATGGGTGGAGATGTATTTTTAAACTAAACGGATTTTGCTTTTGATGCGTGAGGATTTCCTACCCTTGTGAGAGATGGTGTGAAGGAAGGAATCATCAAGAAGGAGGCAGTGCCCCTCTGACCAACACTGAGGCTCCCCTCCCACCACCAGCTCACACGAAGGGGGCGTCTGCAAACCTGTGGAAGTGGGTTTTGTCGTGGTTCAGCTTCCGATATGACAATACACAGAAATGTCCCATCTGGTTTTAAAACTGAGAGGATTATTGTCAGATGGGCCAAAGTTCAAGATGCACAACACAGAAATTAACCTCAACCTCTTGCTAATGCATTTCTAACCATTTATATAACATTGAGTACAGTTGTCTCGTTTTGTTGTGCTCACATGAGATGATTGGTTTTGTAACAAAGTGCATGTGAAGTTCATGAAATTATTAGACTTAGAATTAGACTTGAAGGAGGAACTCGATCGAGAAACCCAGAACAATAGAACAGCAGTGCATAAGAAGTGAATCCTAACATTGTGGAAGGAAAAAAACAAAATTATTTCATGACTACTGAATTTTTTTTTTTTTACTTAAAAAAAAAATACATATCGTTGACATACCAAGGTGACAGCGAAGGCGAGTGTTTGTCGGTCCGTAGGAGCTCCCCAGTATCGCTCCGGGGCCCAGCAGCCAAAATCCTGCAGATCCCAGCGAGTTGCTGTTTATGAAAGTACGCAGAGAGAGAAGTGTGCGATACGTGGAGGGACAGGAGCGGCAGTTCCCTGCCACACAGACCCCGGCGCTGTACAAGGGAAACACGGCCTGGCTCTGAAAAAGAAAACATATTCCATGTTTAAGTCTCAGTCCTGACTTAACCCGACACACTTCTTCTAGATATTTTACAAATTAAATCTGAACTGTTTGTCAGGAATCCGTGTATTCTCCATTGAGTGTATAATTTATGAAGGCCTTCTTTCTTGGTGTTCACAGCTCTACGTGTTTTTGGAGAATTGAAAAATTGTTTGAACCGACTCAGACTGAGTGGAGAGAAAAACTGAAAATCGATGTCCAAGTGTTAGCATACATTTTCTTTGATTGACCCACTTTAATACATGACTGTAATGCTAATTTAAATCTGACTGCTTGTTCAGAGTCACTGTCCTGGTGGATACTTTCCTTATATCTAGCTTTATTGTTATTTAAAGAAACTCTAGTGATCTTGGAATTTCTTATGTCTCTCCTTCTTTCAAAGTAAAAGGCTCTAAATAATATTATTTGCATGTATATGTAAAAACTCATTTTAAACCATCCAATATGCTCCTTTCACTTCACAATCACTGTGTTTTATGTTTGCCTATCTCATAAAGTGCCTAATAATCCAGATATATTAATATACTTACAACTCACGGAATGTCTCATTATTAAATTTTTCTACGTATTTATTCCAGTCACCTTTTTGGGTGAACTTTTAAATAAATAAATAAAAAATATCCCTCATTTGTGGACATTTTCAGTAAGCATTTTCCTCAGACTGCTGCATTCTGTGCTTATGTTTCTTGTCTTGTACCTTTGGCCCCAGGCAGGTCCAGCCTGACTTAGAGTCTGTGCCTCTCTGGTAAACAGCCTGGAACTCAGCCAAGATGGCAGGATAATTAGCTTCCAACACCTCGATGTCATGCCGGTGAGCATCGCGCGGGAAGAAAGGAACACTTGGGACATCCGGCAGGAAGAAGAGATGTGGCTTTTGTATGGTGGAGAGATCGTTGAGCCTGACCTGAGTTTGGAGAAATGACAAAGTTGCCAGTTATTTTTGTTTCTTTTTTTTTTTTTTTGCCAGGGCTTTTTATTTTTTTCATTTCTATTAATAAAACACTGGGC